GGATACTCTTCTTGAATTACTTATTCATGACGTAAACTAGAAACTCGCATAATGCATGCGCAATATCTAGCCTTTTAGTTAGACAATTATCAAGTTATTAGGAAAATTCACTTAAAAAAACACTTATAGCAATTCAGACGATTATTTTTCTACCTTAATTGGTACATAGTATGTGCTCTGCTATCAGGTCCTAAATTTCGGTGTGAAGAATAATCTACTGCAAAGTTGGTTGACCATGGCAGATTTTTCCCAGTCTAGTGAGATCCTAATCGGTGGTAAGTCTGTGAATACCTTCGCCATGTAGGTAAGCAACACAAATATGTGGTAAGGAAAGTAGGTCTCCTGTGATCCAATTCAGGGAGAGGTCCTTCCATGGCTGCAGGATACTAACTTCATCCATCAGCCAGGAGACGCTCTCTTAATCCTCTCTGGTATAGTCGAAGTAACTGGTATTGTGCGATATCACGCGACGTGATACGGGATTACTAAAACCTTTAGATGTTCATCTAATAAAATCATTGGAAAAAACAATATACGACTGTTACAAAAGCAATGAGATTCCTACAACTGAAATCATATGGAAGAAATTGAATACTTCTAGGCATAACGTAAGCTGCTGTGACAAAACTCTTCAGAATTAGATAAAGAAACTAGGATTTAGATTTAAAATAATAAACAAACGTTAAGCAGTTATGGAAATCAAAAGAATAATGGAATTGCGTAACAAATACTTTAAACGAATAACTTTATATAGACCAGAACAACGGCAAATTTTCTATTTGGACGAAACTTGGTATGGCAATCACGACATAGTTACGAAAGGGTGGACTGATGGTTCGGAAATATGTACACCTAACATGCCTGCAAACAAAGGATCGCGACTAATCATTGTGCATTGCGGAGGAAGTAAAGAATGGGTTCCAAATTCTTTAAAATTATGTGGAAAAAACTTGAGGACTGCAATGTTGACTATCATAAGAAAATAGAAGCTAATATTTTTGAGGAATGGTTTGAAAACATATTTATCCCAAATTTGGATGCGAATAGTGTAATAGTTCATGACAACGCTTCCTATCATTCGGGACAGCTCATCAAAGTACCGAATGAAAATTAGAGGAAAGATGAAATACAAAGTTTTTTAATGGATAACAATTTGTATTTTGAAAATAACTATACCAAAAACCAACTACTTGCAGTTTTACAGACAAAAACATTTGAAAAGGTATATGCCCTTGAGAGTATTGCTGANGGCCAATAATTTTATTATCAAGAACACCAAGCCATACGTTAACACTATATCTCTCTTGAAAATTGGTAACTCTATGTAAATATTCATTTTCTTGTCGCCAATGATAATGTATATTCCTGTTGAACCATCCGTTATTGGTAAATGTACTTTCATCACACCACGAAATTTTCTAATGAGCCATCTACAAAAAGCTTTCTCCTGTTGAAGTCCGTTAAACGCAATTCATGAACTTTCCTGACTCGATAAGGCTTGCATTTGTTTTTCTTCAAAATTTTCCGTACAGACGTAGTGGATATGGCCGAATTGTGAGCAGTCTCCCTCAGAGATACTTCCTTATTCTCATTTTTTTTATTTTCCATAAATCCTAAATCAAATTATTGTCACTCTATCATTATTGTGAATCTTCTTTCAACTCACCTAAAACGCCGATTTCATTATCGCCACCACATTCAGTAACCGTACAGTTTCTTTCAGAGGGTTTTTCAAAAGATCCATAATTCCGTAAAGTATTTTAGATTCGTTGAAAATATCTATGATCAGCTTGTCGTCGTTCAGGATATAACTCCTGATACATTGCCAGAGATTTGGTAGCATTCCTCAAACATCTCGAATATACAAAAAGCATATCCACTTTTTCATCATTGAAAAAATTCATGTTTCTCCCTTAAAATTGCTCAACGATATGAATAACTTTTATTTTGTGTGTGACAATTAACTTGGCATTCACATTCATGTATTTCATGGCTTATTAAAAAAAAAAAGAAATTATCGCTTATCATGTTTCTTGTGAAAATCATCTGACAATACAGTATTTTTATAAGTTAATTCTTGTTGATATCCTCATTTTCTGAACAGAAATTTTTGGGTAGCTACAAATTTTCAAAAGACATTTTGAAATTATGAATGGCTTGGTATTGATACAAAGATTATTGGTCTCTCCTGACAGAAATTTAGTTGGATTTCAGTGAATACAAATATTTATAATCTCTATGAACAACATTATCGACAGGAGAACTCTGGATTTCAGTAACATTCGGAAATTCGAGCTCTTAATAAAAAATGGTAGTGATGATGTGGTTTCGGGAAGAAACGTCGGGAAATATGGATGTTGTGATATATCAACGAATTATAATGACTACGAAAATGTATAAAACAATATACAGGTCCGTATTTAAAAATATATATTGATGACGGAATTCAAAGAACGAAACGTTGCATTAAAAATGAGTTCACCCAGATTATAAAGCACATGAAATAAAGCAAAAAGTTTCGTTACAGATTCTGCTTCTGCTGCTCAATAATTTGATATAAGACAGGTTCATAAGATATCCTGTTCTTAAGTTGCTTCCTGGCTGCCTCATATAGTTTTTTTTAACAGAATCTACAGTTAAAGAACTAACATGATATTGCTTTTGATCCGATATTACAGGGAGGATTATTGATTACTTCAGGGTCCGTTAAAGGTTTCACGAGTAGTAGAAAAAAAGAGGTCCAGCATGGCAGGGCTCCGCATGGCCGTGACAAGGCTTTCTACATTGAGAGGGGCCCAGGGATTTCGAAGATTCTGTTAGTGAGAGTGCATGAATGAGGTGAAACTTGTTATACATCATAGGGATTGAGTGAGAAATAAATTCCATGATACAGCAGTGAAGTACACTATTCTCAATTTTAAACTATTCTATTTTCAATTTTTTTTTGCTTAGGAAATCAGTATGTGTCAATCGGCTCTGAATATTAATTTTTTATCGGAAACTAATGGATATTTGTTTGAAACTGTTGTGAATTGAATTCAGCTCGCATTCATTCAAATCTATATTGATCGAATTCAATGCAATGTTATTAGTTGATGTTTTTTTGATATGAATAGAATTTTCTGCATCACTGTCAAAAATCTTTCTGAACGTAAAAATATTTATTAGTGTGATTCAATATTCATCCAAATGGTTTTATTGATAGTTTCGGATAAAAATGAGCCATACTTTGAGGAATGTTAGGATTGTTGTGAGTCATACTTCAAATTCAAATCGGGAAGTAGTAAAGAGCCTAATAAAAAAAAATAATTGAATCTCTACCTACTGTAAGGTTGAATCACTTCCATAATTCGGGAGACTATAATCTACTGCAATTTACCTAGTCGTACATTATCCTTTACTTATGGCAATGTTGAACTGTCAAAAAATCGATGTAATTTTTCAACTTCTGATATGCAATAATATTCAAGTTGCTCTAATGTTCCATAAAATCATTTGCCGCTAATATATATTGAAATTTGTGAGCAGGAAAGAAATTTTAAATAATTTAGATTTTTATTATTGGTGGGACAGTAGCCGGTTGGGTTGGCGTCATATGAAATGGTGGTTCAAGCCCTAGGGCCGTACCATCGATTTATACTGCTTATCGTCCAACCTGTGTTAGGAATGGCACGTTAAAGGGTAAAACCTCGTTAATCTTCACCTCGCACAACTTTCGATTTTTGAGAGTTGTCATTTGTAGGGGGGCGGAAAAACAGAGTTTTTAAAATAATTTACTAAAATCAACTGTTCTGATCCCATTGTACTCTACCTCGGCCATTTACACCAGAAGTTTGTTATCCCTTTAGATATAACTCCATTTTAGTATTAGTCAAGTAATACAGAAGTTTTATCTAATGAGAATTTTTAAATTTCTTCAAAAAATATTTTCATGAAATAACCGAAACTGAAAAAATATTCCTAGAAATGAATATAAATGTTATAGTACAGAAGTGACGTTTTTCTTAATCAAATTTTGTATTTTTTAAATTTCTCTAGGTCAAAAAATAACGAAGTAAAGCTATTGTATTGTATAGTGAAACACGTGTTGCAGTTTTGTGAATTAATCAGTGATATAATAATGTCAAGACATATAATTTCGATTTCTGCTTCGTAAGTTTGTTGGGGGTTAAAATGGATAAAAATATGTCTTGGCACAATCATGTCGCTGGAATTGCAAAGGCTGCTCCTCAAAAGCTCGGAATACTATTCCGAACCAGAAAATTAAATACACCTCAGCAACTTTTGGTGCTTTATAAAGCTCAGATTAGACCTTTTTTTGAGTATTGTTCTCATGTATGGAGCTCCCCCCTAAGCATACCCTAAAGCTGCTGGATTCCATCCAGAAAAGAGCTATCCGGTTGGGGATTTGTCTCTCTTCTATAGATACTTTCACGGGAAGTGTTCAAGTGACTTGGCACATTTGATTCCACCAAGGGCGGTACATATCAGAAATACGCGACGGACTGTGGCTGCTCATCGTTTTGAGATTCAACTCAGTACACCTCGAACTTCACTGTTTAAGATGTCTTTCATTTAGAGAACTACTTTATGTGCAATAAACTTCCTGAGAACATTTTTCCAAATGGATTTGATCTCCAGCGATTCAAATCCAATGTGAATCGCTACTTTCGCATAGGCACCGCTCATAGAGTGCCTTAAGGATTTTCCTGTATCACTTGTGTTTTGTTCTTTAAAAAAAAGTAAATCACCCAATAAAGTGTTACTTGAATGCTTCATGGATTTTCATCAAGTATCGACCAATTCCATCACATTATGTTATGATTGATATTTTTCCCGCAAATTTGACCCATATTCAACGAAAAACTATTCATAGAAGTAGTATTAGTAATGAATGAATAAGCTAGTGTTCAACAGAATTACCTATTAGTGAACTGCTTATGTAAACATATCAAAATAAAGTGTTTTCTTTAGGATTGTGACAATTTACTTTGTTTTAGCTATGTTTCAAGAAAGGCGATATCATTACCGTTACTCAAAAAGATGATGGTTGGTGGGAAGGCACCCTAAATGGAGAAACAGGATGGTTTCCCAGTAATTATGTCAAGGAGTGCAAAGGTATTTCAACAACTTTTTCATTCAATATTTTCGAACGGGTAAACAAAACGCTAATGTCAGGGATTTCGTGTGTATTTTTAGAAAAATTCCAATTGCCCTGAGTCGACTCTCCAGCTGGTGTAAGATATTTTCTTTCAGTGGTTTGAAGATTTTTTCCAGCTGTGATGCAACATTATGCTGGCCATTTCTAAATATAAACTGAATCTGGTTGTTATGTTTCTGAAATACAGGAGATTTCATTAGTTTCTTTTTTTTTACATTTTCAAAGGAAAATATACAGTTTCGTGATTTTTCATTTTTTTTAATGTATAAGTAGGAAAATTGTATTTATAGAATGGTACTATTAAATTGTTGCTATTTCGGCCAGTAGCCGGTCTGTTCGACGTGGGTGCTTTGTTCACTCAATCAAATCGACCGCCGTGTTGGTCGCTAGTTCAAGCCCCAGGCTGAACGATCGATTTTCACTTGCTATCGTCCAACTCGTGTTAGGAATCACACGTTAAAAGGTAAGACCTCGTTAGTCCTTAGCTCGCACAAGTTTCTACTTCTGAGGGTTGTCGTTCGTAAAGGTGCGACAACTGGTTAACGGAAAAACAGATTTTAAACAGATTTTCAAACAGATTATAGTGATTTATATTTAAAAATTTGCAATGGAGAAATGAATAAAATATGAAATGGACAAGTTTCCCTTCAATGATTAATGGAAATTCTCATGTTCTACTGTTAAGAACAATGGGGAATGTTCCTCAATTTGGGTTATTACAGCAAATGCAAGTTTGAACAAAATAAAGTTGAGTTCAATCCATGAGTTTTTCAAATTCACTTCGAAAAGTATTCAAATTGATGTTTCAAATGTTGGGTTTTGATTTTTAAAGGGATTTGTTTCTAATTCACATATTGGCAGCAGCGCCTATATCAAGTTGAAATAATTTATACGTACCTAGATATTCTACTTTAAAAAAGGAAAATTATCTTTATAAATCAACAATTAAGGCAAAATATAAATTATAGTTCAATACCACCTCCACAAGCCACATAAACAACAGTTGTTTTGTTATTTATTTATATAGAGGAAGATAGGTTAGGTGCACAAAATGTCATATGTCACAGAATGTCTCGGAACTCGGAACATAAGTAAACAGAACAGCACGCCTCTGAAATATGTCATCTTTGTTTGTCTCATACAGGTAACAGATTCATTGTCCTTTATTAGCTATAACCGATGTTGCCAAATGGTGAAATAGAAACGAATCCCTTTAAATGTTGAATACATTATTTCATTACTCTTTTTTAAGTATTAAAATAATTTTTCTAAGAAAAAGGTTGAAATGATAAGTTTAAAATGCGTTGTTTTAGAGCTCTTTTATGAAAACTACTTGATTTTCGTCAGGAGGAACATTCTCCATTCAAACCATTCAAATTATCATGATTTTTCAATGAATTATTTCGTTTTTGTGCATTAAACATCCCATAAGTTGATGGCATACTATTCAGAACAGTACATTTAGGAGATATTTAGTTTCAAGATTGACAAACTTGAACGTCAGTGTTATTTCAGTTTTCTGTCACTCGTCGGGCACTCTTCATGTTGTATAAGTTGATTTGAATCTAAGTTGAATTCCATATGTCATTTCTATGTATAACATAATATTACAAAATTAACACACTTCATTCATGAATTACGATTTTTAATGTCCAGGAATAAGAACTATTTTGATTTGAATTGAAAGTTAGATTAAGGACTTGAACTTTCTCAAATATCCAAATTACAGTTTTAGTTAGAGTATCTCTTAATTTTCAGATGCTCCTAAGCCCATTATAAATCAACAAAATCAGTACAAAAGTGTTGTGTTAAAAGATCTTATAGATTCAGAAAAAGCACATGTTACTGAACTAGAGGGACTTGTGACTAACTTCCTACAACCTCTAGAAAAAAGTTCAATGTAAGTTATCATATATTATCATAAATTACTTGTTATCTAAAATCAGATTTGTATCTATAAATTACAGTTTGACATGTGACGAATATAAACAATTGACGGGAAATATAACAGAGGTATTGGAAACCCATCAGCAGCTGTTGAATCTGATAGAAATAGAATCTAATAAACCTGGATACGAACAGAAGGTTGGCAAGTTATTTCTCACATGGGCTCCAAGAATTAAAAATGTTCATCAGACGTATTGCTCCTTGCATCCAAGGGCAGTGTGTATTCTCGATAAATATCGGTAAGTTGAACTTCAGACTGCTTTTACATTTTCATATTTTTGTATAGATAACGTAGTCAAAACCTCATTCTTGATAGCTAGAATTTGAACCTTAATTGTAAAATGAATCTAATGATAAATTTCTCCACACTGGAACTCAAGCACTGTTTCTCGACGTTAACTTGGTTAGCTGGCATCGTCAGGAGGATCTGCATTATTTGAAATAACTTATATTTATGAGAAATGTAGATATAAAATATTTCCTTTTATTTTGAGTATGAAATATTTTGAAACAATATTTTTTTAATGTAGAATAGCTTCTTTAAAATATTTAATTCATATTCAAATTTGGCTATAACAAATAACAACAATAATGCCAACAGTGAAACTCAAACTCAAATTATTTCCATGTGTTTCACAATGTCAAACAAAACGACCAATCACAAACTTATAATTGTTTGGGCCCAGTCGACCAGAGTCAATTGATTGTTTTTAATTTTTTTTTCTTCCTTGTTCATTATGGGGGAACTAGATTATGGAAGGCAGAGAAACAAAACTCTATACCCGGGCCTTTTATGGTATTAAACTTTCTCGGAGATTGACGGAAATGCTCTCTTATTTCAATCTACAAATTTTAAATGGTGGACAAAAACCGGATAATTGCATCCACTATTTCAACCATTGACAATGCTGAACATAGTACTATAAGGATATTCGACAACTTTATCTCCAATCTTCAGTTGATTTTATATAGTTTTATTATATTCAATGAAGATAATTTGATTATACTGTTTCCTAATAGTTCCCAAACGAGTTAAGTTAGCAATGTTAAAGGGACAGAAGGAGTATAATAATTATATTTCGTTTCTGTGAAAATTTGTCGACTACTGTTCCATAAAACGAGCTTTATTTGAACATAATATGGACAATATTTTTTTTAACCATACTTTCATCAAATGGTATGTTTTTTCATCACTCAATGATATCTGCGTTATATCATGTATTACTTGGTATTCTTTCAACTTTTCTGCATTATCCATCACAATCACAGATTTAGGTGGTATGAGGTCTAACATTTGTTAAAAAATTCTTCAAACACATCGTCATTCATGTCTTCATGCTGATCGCCAGAATGCTTTGACTCAAACATCCATAAACACCTCTCAACAAAACCACAGTTTAGCTATACTGTGACAAAATCATCAACACTTCGAATGTGGGTAATAATCAGTCGCTTTTCTTTTCCAGTGGTAGACAGGCTTCTAAAAATGTTTGACATGAATTTGTAATGTTTTTGTCCTGCCATATGTCTCCTACGGTGTATTCTTTGTTAAGACAAGTTTCGTTTAGATAATAAATCTTTCTGTTCTCAAGTCGAAATCTATATCTGTCTTAGGTAATGTTTCCTTCAGCAAATAATTTCATAATTTTCGATTAAGAGCGATTTTTTGTTTTGTTTTTTTTTTTCATATGAAAATTATTTCCTTTGAAGTTTCCACAATTTCTGTCTGCCTATCATTGGATTGGAGACATAATTTGACCTTCTTTCAACGCTCCCATTATTATGTCGAGGGTCGGTATTTCTTTCTTAAAATCAAATAAAATAAGTGTTTTTTTTTTATTACAAGTTTTCACAGCTTCATTCATATATTGATGATTTTGAAACTCCCGTCATTTGCGAACACATTTCCACAAGAGTATCAACGGTATACGAAGTATTTTGGTGGATGCGAGCGTTATACACTTCAAGAATAATAATCTTTTCGTTAACAGAAGAAGCACATTTGCTGATTTGTTTTACTGAAAAGAGAACAAATATCCATTTCAATTCAAACACTAAGTAATAATGATAATAATAATGTTTATTTTATAAAATGCCACAATTATTTGTATAAAAAATAATTACAACATGTAATAAAATGACGTCACACACAATTAGGTATATTTCAAAACGGATGTTTTAAAAAATCCTCAACACAATAGGGTTCTAGATCTACAAGTATCTTTTTGATGTTTTTTTTTTTTAAATTGATTGCTACTAGCAGAATGTCTAAAAAATACTGGCAACTTGTTGTAAAATCAAATTGCCATATAATAGGGAGATTTTTCAGTAAGTCTCAATGTATGATATGGATAAATGAGGTCATGCCTCCTAGTGTTGTATTCGTGTTCTGTAGCATTTAGATTAAAAAGTTCTCTATTTTCAAACAAATACATCAAACATTCAAAAATATACAGAGCATATACAGTCATGACGTTATTATTCTTAGAAACTGTTCGACAAGAGTCCTTATAATGTTTGTAATTGATTATTCTCATTACTCTTTTTTGTATAACAAATATTTCATTTGTATTCTTGTTGGATCCCCAAAAAATTATTCCCTATCTCATGAAAAATTAATAGTGATGTTATCAATTCATATGCAGTAGACAACATTTTCTCCACCTGAACCAGACCTGAAATTCTTCTCAACGCGCGGTTCACCAACCAAGTTGGCGACTCCTAGAGATGTAGAAAACTCATGATGATTTTTTTTCATGACATCTTCCACATAACCCTTCCTGATCTGTGGCCTTATAAATTGTTAATAGTGATGTTATCAATTCATATGCAGTAGACAACATTTTCCCCACCTGAACCAGGCCTGCAATTCTTCTCGACGCGCGGTTCACCAACCAAGTTGGCAACTCCTGGAGATATAGAAAACTCATGATGATTTTTTTTTCATAACCTCTTCTACATAACCCTTCCTGATCTGAGGTCTCATGAATTGTTGACAGTGATTTTACCAATGCAGTAGACAACATTTTCCCCACCTGAACCTGAATGTTTCGCAAAATGAATTACAGTCTAATCAATGTCTAATCAATATCTAATAAAGGCAATACGAGCCCCTGCTTGAATGTTTGTTTCATTCCCTGTTTGAATCTTTGTTTCATTCCTCAAGTTTGTATTGTTTTAAGGAAATGTTTTTTTTTTAATCTGATTACTTTGTTTGAATACAGTGTACAGATTTCAGAAATGATGCTTTTAATATTTCCAGAGAAGATCTCACCAAATATATGGAATCCAAGGGCGCAACAAGTCCTGGTGTTCTAGTATTAACTACAATGTTGAGTAAACCTTTCAGAAGGTTGGATAAATACTCTGGAATGATGCAGGAATTAGAAAGACATGTGGAAGAATGTCATCCAGATAGGGGTGATACTCAGAGATCTGTCAGTATATATAAAGATATTGCGGTAAGTATCAAAACATGTCAAAACATGTCACTATTGTTAAATTTAAATATCAAGTGGCAGATCATCTTGCTGTAATCAGTAATTCAATATTATTTTCTGAATATATCAAATTTTGACACATAGACCTGTCAAATACACATAAAATAAGACTTACAATTACCTTTTTGGTGATGCACTGTTTGGAACTTTTGGTGTAGTAATGAATATTACTTGAGCCTAATCCCAACACCAAACCGTTAATGGTTTGATGTTGGAATTGAACTCCAGTGATATTTACAATTTCGTGAAAAATCAGTTCAATCTGTCTCTGCATAGGGCAAAAGAAAAGTAAAAACGTATATAGTATTCAATGTATTACGAGTGCATACTTTTCAGTTGAATATAGGATTCAAATATTTTCTCAAACTGAATATATGAAAGTGTAAAACCAAAAGAATAAAACAATAATCATCTTATACTTATGACATTCTGATCTGTTATTTAATTCTTGATTATTATCTCAATATCACCTCTCAATAAAAAAAACATTCATGTCTATTAATCTTGAGCATAATTTTTAGTATTTTTCTCAGTGGCTTAGTCATATCAGCAATCTGGTTTTCAGAAGAAATATCAAACTCTCCTGCTGATATTTTTTCACATATGTATAAAAAGTTTGGTATCTGTGTTTTCTTCTGAAATGATTTTCGGAATTTTTAACCACTTTGATGGCTGACTATTCTCAAATATGACAACTGGTTGGTCGCTATTTTGTTTCATAGCTTGAAGCACATTTTTATCCAGCAAGCTTCATTTTTACTCAGGCTCAAAACTACGTACTCAGTATCTGTTGATGACAAAAGCGGCTGATTGTGCCTTAACCAACTAACCAAGACACGCTTGAACCAAATACCTTGAACACATAATCGGAACTTTGTCAAAGCTATTTTCTGGAGTTGTTGGCTGTGATTTTCAAGTTTTTATGACTATCGTTTCGTCTATGACTGTAGTATACATCAAAGGTGATGAAGCAACAGACGAAGTGTTGTGCAAAACAGATAATACAGAATTGTTCTGGGTCTTTGAATCTATTCCATTGGTGGTGAGTGTGGCATCGTTCCTATTGGTTGAATTTAATTACCTGATACGAGGCTTAAGTGCCGGTTCTCTCTTCATTTCAATTGAAATTTATTCTGTGTCTTTAGTAACACCCTTGGTGTTTCAATATGGTTGGTAACACTCTTCACACATGGCAGGATATTTTTTCCATTGACAGGTCTATTGGAGTAGTCTTGGGCTTTTATTTTCTGGGACCTACTGCCTACTAGAAATCAGTTTCACTATGCCTATTGCCTTTGAAAGCGTTTTTCAAATGATTGAGTTCCTTGGGGAGACTTTCAGGAGGCTTTCAGTTCACAAATCACACTGGACACTCGATGTCCAGAAAAAAAAAGTTTTATGATGAGAAAAATCATCTTTCAGCAGTAAAATATATATAGAAGCACCAATACTTTCTTCTTTTATTGGACCACATACATCATTATGGATGCACCTGGTTCGGAAGTATTCAATAAACTACTTCAAAAATATAGTCGGTGTTGTTTCCCTTTGAGAATTACAAAATAAATGTGATATTTGATTGCACATTCGATAGCCATATTTTTACAATGTGATCTTGTGGGTGTATATCTTGTTGATAAAAAAAAAGTTTCTTATATAACTTGTAATATTTTTATGTCACAGTTTTCATGTATTTTCGTTAATAAAGTATTATAGTAGTTTATTGAGAATATATGAAACTTGTTGCTGTTTTTTAATGTACATAACAAAATTTAAGACAAACAGGGATGTCTCAGTTGAAATCTTGAACTATTTGAATAATTCTCTACATTTTCCATACTTTTTTAAACACATAATTCTGAGTATCATCTTATAAATAATTAGTATATCCTTTATTCTACTACAGTTACCATTGCAAACTGTACAATAATTGAACTTATGCATAATAGTAGGTATTCATCAAAATATCCAAAGTGACAAAATTACATGAATTTCAGGTGACAAAATAGTGGATAGTTTATTAAAAAAAACAAGTCCAACAATTTTGTACACCTCTTTTGTCAAATCGACTTCACTAGAATACTACATTTCATATCTGTAAAAGAAAATACGACAGTATTCGTTTTCAACTTGTTTAGAATTAATCCATTTCTGGAACAGTAATCTTGCATATTGGAAATTGTTATGTTAACTTGTGATGAATGAAAAGTGTTGGCTTGTGCACAAAAAATTTGATTGAAAAATCAGTATTTATCATAATGAATGATAGACCAAAATTATTTACTATAGGATTGATGTTATGAATTTTTTCTCATTCAAAATTAGGTTAATTGTTCAGTTATGTATGTAGATCGCAAATTATACCAAAACGCTAAGTATAATTTGGGAGTAGGTTGACATACCCAATTTTTCAAGAATACAACTTTTAAAAAAGGGGCACACTAGTCACTTCACCTGCTTCCTCTTGATCAGAAGGCAGCAAGATAATTTCAAGTATATAATAGCACGTTTGTCAGAGGAAACACATACACCAAGGGCTATTTTGTTTCATTTGAAATGAGAATTCGCACAGGGTCAATCGATTCGCTGGTGTCCCTCACTCACGACTGACTTATTCGCGGAGTGTGCGGAAGCAAATTAATACTGCTAAATCATTCGGATTCGAGCTAACGGGGCATAATGGGTGTGAATTAGGAACAAATTCAATATGTCCTAACACAGTTGAGAACTCTTTAAAAGTAGTTAATATTTGATTTCCTATGATACGAATCAGTTGTGACTTGATATATTTTATATTTATTCAAATTCCACCCATATGACTGGCGGCAGTAGAATTGAATTTCCATTCTATTGGTATTTACTAGTACCAACAAAATCACTTCCACAGTCTAAAATAATTTTAGATCTACTTTTTATTGTTACTTCTGGTAACAAAATGACAAAATGCTGCAAGAAAAGTTTCAGTTGGAAGATTTGATGCAACCTCTAAATGAAGAGCTTTTGTACATGAATATATATATATCAGCGTGCCTTTTGCAACTGGCTTTCAAACTCCAAGGGACAATGCCGAATCATTGATTAAGGCCAAGTCCAAATGATTATGCAAGAGGAGAAAGTCCCCCCTCTCAGAAAGGGCGTATCCTCCAGCGAAGAGGAGGAATAAACTCCCCCTGAGAGGAAAAGGAGGAGGGTCAGGAAGAAGTCTGACCCCCCAACTCTAGACCCACAGTAGAGGATTTAAACCCTAGCCTTGGCAACGTCGTGATCAAGGACCTATAGGACCTACAAGCCAAGATAGACCTCATCAAAAAGAAAACCGTAGAGAAAAATAACGAAAAAGTCAGCCCGTTTTGTAACACTAAAAGATAGGTTAACCCTGCCCTTGAAGATTTTCTTTTACTTGCAATGAGACAAAGCCAGATTAACGCCTTCAGGAATCACTACCGGAAACTGTTCATCCTCAAGGCAGAAAAGGAAATCAGAAGATTACAGGAGTTGGCAGGGATTTTGAGGACGCCACAAAAGACCATATGACCAAGGACTACTGGACGGATAGAAGACTGTCCTTCCCTTTCTACCCCACCCTCGTAAGTAAAGATGATTTTATTGTTCCCAGAAAGACACCCCGGTAGATTCCAAATAAAGCAAGAGGAAACTAAATGCAAGGCTGAAAGGCAGGAGTCTTTCTCTGATTGTTGTCAATGGCATAATACCCGTAAACAAAGAGCCCATGGAAGAGCTAAAAAGCAAGTTGGAGGAAAATTTCTTGGTGAAATATACCGGGAAGTCAACCCTCATATACACCAAATCCCGTAAGTACCATCACTCGATAGTAAACACTATTAAAGGTGAAAATATGGAGTTCCATACACACTTTCGGAGGACAAAATACATGCGTTTGTCCTTCGGGGTTGGACTCAGACCCAAAAACTGAGGACTCAGAACGGATCGTCGTCCCCTATACATGGTTATCACAAACAAGGAGCTCTCGCTGAGCTTCCTCAAATGCAATGTAAGGTATGTCTTACATACCAGAATTTCTTGGGAGCTATGAAACAATAGCAGAACCCTGCTGCAGTGCCACCAGTGTCAATGTTGAGGTCACGCCCCGAAAAAGCAATTCGGGTTCCGGCGTGGCTGAAACACGACCTCGTAATTGATCCGAGTTGTTCACGAGATAAAGGAATCTTTCCATCAGGGAAACAATACAGTTATGATCCTGCTGGGCATTCAGAAAACCTTTCACAAGGTAACACCGGAAGGGTTTGTCGCCAAAATGTAATCTTATACGTGATTAGGAATCTTGAATCCTACCTGAGCAACCGAACTTTCCGTGTTAGAGTCAACCAAACCACATCTGCACATTACACCTGCCTATTACCCACTTGCCTATTACCCACCATTACCCACTTGCCTATTACCCACCTGCCTATCACAGCATCTGTACTCATTGTACACGCATGACTTTCCCATGTTTTCGCAAACGAATGTGAGTGCCTTCGCAGACGATACCGCAATTTACGCACATTTGTTCTTGAGCGAGGTAGCTAAGCAGCAAATACAGATCCACCTCGACAGGATGGTGGTGCCGTATTTTGACAGAAATAAAATTGAGATTAACACATCGAAAACTGAGCTCATCAACTTCACGAAGAAATGTTCGAAAACTGAGCTCATCAACTTCACGAAGAAATGTACCAACATAAAGAGCTTCGGAGAGTTGCGAATCAAACGCAAAATCGTCATTGAGCAGAGAAGCGTGCGATATTTGGGAGTTATCCTGGATAGACGTCTAAATTTTCAGGAACACTTCAGGCTGGCAATCCAACGAGCGGCTGACGCGATAAAACGCACGTGTCCGCTCATTGCACGAAACTCCGAGCTCAGTGTTGACGACAACAAATGGCTTATTTACAAACATGTAATAAGACCAGCTATGTTGTACGCCTGTCCCATATTGAATAAGATAATTCACGCCTTAGCGTGATCGCCGCTCTTACCAGACAGTTGTTTCAGGGATTTCAAATCATTTTACATATTAGACAATGGAAGTCCGAACTAGTGAAATTCACCATGAAACATTGTCAATCACCTTCAAACAATCACTAAAAGATAGTTTTATCGATCTTACAGAAGATAGTTCCATGAAAGATTAGTTTGAAAAGAAATCTTCAATTAACATCTGGATCGGATTTAAAACCGAGTACCCTTTTTTGTAGAAACAATCCAAAAATTCTGTAGTAACAAAAAAAAGTGTGGTTTGTATACTTGCATGAAAATGAATTTTACGTTTCTCTTCTTCAAAAAAGACGAGTAAAAATCAAATTACTTGGCAGTCGTATGAGATATTTTTCATCATAATCAAGTTGGGAGTGTTATGAACGCCCTTTACCCCAAAAACTTTCTCATTCAAAAATGGATTGAGTTTGTGAAAGGGTTTCTGTTTTGTAGAAACTAGTTAGGAATTATTTATTTCCATTGAAAGGGTATATTTTTTGGAGAGATTAATTTTTGTCAAAGAAAGGTTTTGGCTTTCTACTTTGAAATTGCTTGCTTCCTTTCTTTCTTTGGAAGACTACCACATTTTTTGTATTTATTTCAGTTACGGTAATTTGAGGTACGTGAACCATTTATTTATTTATCCTGTATATATACAGAGATATCTGAACTAATTTCCAGACACACAAACACACTCAGATTAGGGTTGCAAATACCTAAATCATAAAAGTTTTTCAGAAGCACGTCATGATTAATGGTATCAAAGCCTCTAGGATGATCAAAAACAGATCCCAGAGTTTTCATTTGAAAAAAGAAATATATTATTTTTCGTCATAAGTGTATGCCTATAATAAAATACCATAGTGTTTTCAAGTCAAAACTAAATTAAAAGAATTTCTGATATCCAAAGCCAAGTTCACCATTATCAATTTTTTTTTGAAGACATGCATAACTTTGTATATATCCACTCAGCATTTTCACTCGATTGCATATTGTAGTTTTTTTATTCTTGTCTTAAAATAGGTTATGTTTTCTTGATTTTCCTATCCTACTACCATCGACATTTATAATATCATTTTATTTCATAATACGTTATTGTCATTTTATTGACATGTTCTAAACTGGGAATAGGTTTTTTTTTATAAAGGATGAAATCAGAAAATAACTAACCGTTAGAAAAAAGAGTATCATATCGTGAAACAGTGGAAAGCCTAATATATGTTATGATATCTAAGTGGCCAGACATTCGTTCAAGTTGAAATTAGAACTCGAAATAAGTTAAGAAGAACTTCACCTATTATTTAGTAGGACATGTCCTATTATTAAAAAAAGCTATACAAACATGTTTCTAGACTAATGGTTATATAATAAAAAGAAAAGAAAGACAAATAAATAATACACTTGAAGAATATAAATTCGTGTGAACAAGATTGATTATGTTGTAATACATTCTGGTGATTTATAGTGACTGGATATGTTTACTGATCCTCGTTTTAAATACATAAATGGTATTAGATTGCTTGATGTCTTGTGGTAGGTTATAGAACTCATCGAGTCCTTTATACAATAGCAATTTCATTGAATTTGCCATTTTCCAATTAGGGAGATGAAACGTATTATTTCCTCTAGTAGTATAGTTATATACTTGGGAGTTAATCATAGTAAATTAACTTAGACAATCTGGAAGTAGTTTATGTAATATCTTATGAATAAAAATCATTGTTAATTTATAAAATTTGTTTTTCACCGATACCCACTGCAAACAATCTAACATCGCTGCAATGCTGGTAAACCGATTACACTTCAGTATTATGCTCATACCGCGATTTTGCAGCTTTTGTAGTTGTTAGATTTTATTGGAATCAAGGGAGTATAGTAAGCTACCACAATAATCAAAGTGGGGCTGGATAAAGATGTTATATACTGTAATTTTGGAATATGTTGAAAGGCATGAGAAAATTCTATTTTTTTTACTTATGTAGGAAAAATGTTCATGCAATAATAGGCTATTATCAAGTATGAATTTAGATATTTAAACTGGTTTATGAATTCAATTTCATTGTAATTTATTTCCAGATTGAGTTGGTTTGAGTTGATGTTTTTGTATTTAAAGTTTAGGATCATCGCCTTACATTTTGTCACATTGAGTTTCATTTTGTTAATATTAAAATATACTTGTAGTTTTGATAGAGAATCGTTCATCTTGTTGATAGTACCATACAGATCAATGCCTGAGATTGACAGTAACGTATCATCTGCAAATAAATTGAGAAAATCACAGTCATGATAGTATTGTATATCACTGATATAGCATAGGAATAATAAAGGACCCAAGACACTTCCCTGTGGTACACCGAAGTTATTGGTGATGGGAGCCGAGAATACATTCACTTTGGTGATCTGTTTGCGATCCGTTAGGTAGTCCTTGATCTATTTCAATACAGTACCTTGTATGCCTTTCTTATATGACATTATGTTAACATGGATACTCAGATGAAACATAATATGCTATTCAGCTATTTCATTATTCATTATCATCTCAATACTTTCACTGGTAAATGAATGATGGCCATGATTGAAATCGTTATATCAGCGTTTCACAGTGGCAAAGGATATGATGTTGCCCTCAAAAGTAAAAGTTGATCAATGCAGTGCTGATAATCCATGTTAGAAGATATAATAAATCATTGCACCAAAATATCACGAGTTTATTCAGTTTTTCCATTCAAACACAATTTTCAAGGCACTGTAATCTACACAAATCGAGTTCCACGATCAAATGACATGTCATTTTTCTGATGGAAATTGTAGTTAACTTTCTAGTATAAACATCATATGGAAAGACTGAAAATATAATTGCTCTTCTTGTATAGAAGATAACCTTTTGTAATTTCAAGGAAAGAAGTGTTTCTCACTTCAGTGACAAAACTTTAATAAATCAGTTCATAATTCATTCATTTCAAATTTTCTTTCTACTACCAACCAGCCAAATATACTTCATACATAAATTTTTCCATCGTTTATAGTCGTCTTGCTCAGCTACCAGGAGACAGAAAGAATTGGAGCTACAAGTTTTAACAGGACCTGTAAGGGGTTGGGAAGGTCCTAGCCTAACCACACTTGGAGATATCATATACATGGGATCAGTCGCTGTGGGTCCTCAACATCATGATAGATACTTTGTATTATTTCCATCCACTTTGGTCATACTATCTGTCAGTCACAGGTTGAGTGCTTTCATTTATGAGGTATTCTATACAATAGTTATAAAAATACTATATAATAAAATTGAATTTTATTCAAGGGAAAATTATTTTTATCTGGCTTGATGATTAATAGACTTGAAGACACCGATCAGTATAAAAACGCCTTCGAAATCAGCGCACCCATGATAGATAAAAGAGTTGCCGTTTGTCAGAGTAAGGAAGAAGCTGATCATTGGGTAGAGTTACTATGTAAACACATGCCGAGAAGTTCAACTGCTTCAAATATTAGTCAGAAAGTATCACCATCTCAGGCACAGTTTGTTCCACAGCCACCACCTCATGTGAGTATTCAGTATTTCACTACTTTTATTAAAAATTGCATTTTTATCTGTCTGTTATAAAAACAATAGAGTAATCAGTTATTATCAGGCATTTATTTTCAATACCCTTTAAATCACTAACTATTTTCTATTTACAATAAATAAAGTGATTTTAAATGCAATAAATTCCATTCTTTGAATTATCAATTAGACATACCTGGAAGTGATTTTTCAGTATAAGATGTCTATGAAATACATGATGAGGTTTTTTTATTGACGCCTAGGTTTCGATATCATCTATGTATCTATGGCCTGCGAGTGTGAATTACAGATTTTAAAGCTATAATTCAATTATGAAAATGCAATATAAACTTTCAGCGTTTGTTACATAATAATAATAAATTTTATTGATATTCTTTATATATCTACTTTGTGAATAAATTTTTCATATTCCTACAGATTCCCCAGATGAATCAAAGGGGTTACTGTAACCGAACATCGATACTAGGCTTTAAGACCAATCTCTACTATAGGCCTACCTATCCTCCTGATCACTATCCTTCTGCAGCTCCTTATGCTGCTCTGAACAAGTACTATCAGAGGCTCATCAAAGCGAGAGTGATAACGAGAAAACTTTTGAAACAGTTACTGTATTCGGAATATTTAAACAAAATGAACTTGAGTTTGGTGAGGATTCGACACCATAAGACTGAAATAAGTATATTTACTAAAGATATTCACTGTAGAGATAGTATTATTAATTGCGATAGTGATTGTGATAGTGATAGTTCTGATTCTGATTCCAGTGATAGTGAGTTCAAATTCAAGAAACAAATAACAAATCGATCAGGAACGTCTAGTAGTACGAGTAATCCTTTTGGATACATAAGATATTATAACCCTCAAACAGGTATAGAGCAGCATGAAACAAAATATGAAAGCTTTATAGACTATGGTGTTCCATCATCTGAAGAAATAAATAGGACTAAAAGCTCCAGAAATCCCAGTGTGTTAGTTTCTACTGCTATGATACAATTGAGGAAGCAAAGATCTGAGGAATCAGAAGCGAGTTCATGTTATCCTGAACGAATACCTTTTATGGCTTGTGAAAATTTACCGAATCTCAAAGACAGCTTGGAATTGAACAATCTCACCTTACCAGATGAATATGTTCCTGTAACTAGACAGAGCTGTCCAACTAAATTAGTTGGAAATAAATTCAATCAAAGTAGCCTAACTACTATCTATATTCCTACTTGGTCCAATAGTGATAATAACATAACTAGGAAGAAAGATGTGCAGGAAGAAAATAGGTTGTCCAATGATTCGAACACAGCAACTCATTCAAGTAATCTAGAACTTCCAATTAATACATTACCCTTACCAGATAAAATGGTGGCAGAACTGTTATACAACTTTGATGGAGAATTTGACAAAACCGATTCTATCGGAAGTACTATCGAGGAATTATCTTCTGATAACGTTCTGAAACCACCTACAATGTTCCTCAAGAATGACGTGCAAGTAATACCACAAACTGTTAGTCTCAATCTCGAAAATGTAGGATTTCGTAAACACAGTATTAACTCTGATAAACCGAGACGTCGAAGCAGTCTTCACATTAACCCAAGCAGAAATCCCAAAAAAAGTATGTGTGTTAGCTCACAGTACATAAAAATGTCAAATCAAACCACATCACAACAATCGTTTTGTCGATGCTGCATGGACTACTGTCACAGTCCTAGATCATCAGACTCTGGTATGGCTGGAAGTTGTACCCTAAACTCTCCAGATTCTGCCAATGTCAATGATGATCCATCACTAGGTTCCTCACAAATTCGAGTCAGTATGGACATGGCAAAATTATTCCATAAATTCGGGGATTTACCACGTGATAACCGTGAAATGATATCTTTGAGTGATATTGAGGCCAGAGACTTCGAATTCGAGTGCCCATGCACTTCCCCCTTTGGATCAACCCCAAGAACTTCAGGGCAGGATTTTACTCCAGAAAATGTTATGGCAGGATCTTTTAATCACTCCAAAACATCGGTTACTTCCAGCATTGATATTAATCCTAAAAAGTGGGGCTCCCAACCCAAACTCCATTCCAAATTGTATATTGCGCCCTTGATGTCACAAGATAGTGGACCTCAAAAGTCCCAGTCTGCAGGTTGTCTCTTGGATGAATCAACTGAGGAAAGAGCAGAGGTGGAAGAAAATCCTGCTATGTACAAATCTGGCCTGTATGCACATTGGTGGTTGAAAGCCAAAATCCCAGCCAGTGTTGTTAAGGGGATTTATATGGACACTAGGTCACCCCCTACAGGCAAGGGCATGTGTTATTGCAGTGATTTAAGTATTTTCTTCGTTGTTTGTTATTCTCACAAGTTAACCACTTAATTACCTAACAGTGTGTTGCTTGTGTGTGTGTTGGCCCTTGCCTGTACATCCATTAACTATGCCATTTCAAGTTATCATCTGTTATCATCTTCACCAATTTGCTAAACTAATTTGCATACTTCAAGCTTACTTCTTCTGCACTAAATGATTAAATTATTATTGAATATTGAATTCTCACTGCTCCAAACATTAATTCAATTACTTCACAACTGTTGTAATACTGAAAAAGTTGTTGTGACATCGCAGACAGGGTTGGTTATGTGGAAAAGATCAAAGTTATCGGTACTGTTTTTTTTATCTATCTCTTGACATCAATAAGAAAATATATAGATACAAACACAAAAAGGAGAATAAATTTATCTATAAAATCATTTCCACAATTATTCCTCTAGATGATTGGGTTACACAGAAGTGAATTTTTCTTCCTCGTTTTCTAAACGAAACATAACACAAGTAATATTCGTTATTTAATCCCAATGAGTAGCCCTATATTTGTTCTAATTGTTCAATTCTCTTCTCGGATGGAAGTGAAAGGCTTAGTACATGCGCCGTTGGCATCCACTACAAAGTCTGTCACTCTGCCATCAACACACTGTCGAGGCAAGCTTCCTACACAAACACTAGAGATAGTTTTTTGTTACTCAATGGATATAGATAGACTCATTGAGATTTTCAACAAAGTACTGCTAGTACAAAAGTGACGAATATGTACCTTGGCCATCACAATCGGCATATATTGATAGTATCAGAGAGAATTGAATGTGAAATGATTGACAATAAGGGATTAAGCTTGTTAACGTCATGTTCTTCCTCATTTTCGCTAAGCGCTAAGCTAGTAAGCGAGTATTTAAGCTTGTATGCCAATATGCGTCCGTCTTGGTTCTAGTACTTTGGTACTCTAAAGAAATGTTTATCATTGTAATTATTTTCAGGGGTGTAATGCTCGAATCTGATTACAGTCTGATTTGTGTTCTTCGGAAGAGAGCTTTGAAATTTCTCTACAAGGTTAGGCTTTGTTAATGAGACATTTCATATTGTTATTTCTATCGTAAACTCTGTATTTATTTATTTTATATTTACTTAGCTTAATTACATTATTTTTTTATGTATTTCAAAATATGCATTATGTAACTATGTTTTTTTATGCAAAACATCATCATTTATCATAACTTTGTAGATAAGTTTAAATCTTTGGACAATAAAGCATATTTATTATCAAAGGTTAATTAATGAAGAATGAGTTTTTTGCAGCAGATTATGTTAGAGGAATATTTGGTAGCATACAAAAATGCTTGATAGGTAGAATTGTAACCTCTGCCATAGAATGAATCTTAATCACTTTTCCCATACCAGGACTAAAATAATGTCTCTTGGCGCTAAAACTAGCCTTCTCCTGATGATGTTAACTTTTTTAGAAAAACGCACGATGACAGTCAGTGCTTAAGAAAAGTGTTTTCATTAGATATGAATATTTGTCTGGGTTCAGAATAATGTAACCGAGTTACAAGGTTACAAGGAAGCAGAAAAAACAGGCTGAATCTCCTTTTTGTCTTCGAAATAATCATTTGTACAGAATGGACACATTTCTCTGAAGAATGGATGATTTCATCAATTTGTTGCCAAAATAGTTTTTGGGCTAAGACAACATTTTCTGGAATTGTTTTTTGGAGACATTTCAATATAAAACAGTTTAATTTTTTTTACTTAAAGTTTTTTGAGATTGTAGTGAAAATATATTCTGAAATAAAAACTTCAATAATTTCACTTCTTTAAGTTTCACATCATGCGTCAAGTGTTATTAGTGTAATCTCTATTACAAGTAAAATCATGGACGTGAAAAAGTGTCTAAATGGAATCAGCAAACCAATATCTACAACACATATTGTATTGAAGTCGCTAACTAGGTTCGTGGGCGCGGATTATGGTGAAACAGGGAACCTGCGATAGAATATGACTTCCTCTCCACTGACAGTGGCTTGATGATAAAAAAACAAAAATATGTGAAATTTCATATATTTATGTTGGTTAGAACAATTGAATTGCTTATAAACCCAACAGTTAAGCACTATATATAATCCAAACACAACTAGAAAGTCACTATTTCAGCAAATATAATGCACGAACAACAATGTCAACATAAACTAGTGAAATTTTTAAACAGTAAGGTAGGATCTAACAACAAAGCAACCCATTCCAGTAGGTAGGTAGATACATCATAGAAATTCCTTAAACAGTCTTGCCACTCATAGAGTTGAAACGAATTGTGTAGAATTATTTCTCTATAATAATCTAGTTAACAGGGCAAATACTATTTGACCTACAAAAAGGAAATCATTGACGTTTATTTCATATGTATATTTACTACTACCCTCTCAAAACAATTGAAAATGAAACCGTTTCATATTGAAATTTACTCCATTCAGAATAAGAAGTTAAAAGACAGAAAGTTGTATATCTCGAATCAGTCAATTCTAATTCCAGATAATGCATGCATTTTTTTATTATGTCATTCAGCAATATAGATTGGATCATTAATAAAAAACAACTCGATCTCGATCAGCCAACTTCCTTAAAATGAATGAATGGTCATGTAATAGCTTCAAATTTTATGGTCAGTTCACAGTTGATGAATCTGGTATAATTTCCCTCATTCGTTCCAGGATTTAATTTTCTGAGTCTGCCCCCAGTTTAGGATCTCACAAAAATTTCAGCTTGCCTTTTTTAACATTAATGTGTCGTGAGTTGCATTAAGGAATGTTACATTTAAGCAATGTTTTCTATTGTCCACAGACGTCTCCACTAGTAGCCGGAGGCGTGACAAACCACCACAGTAACCGCCAAGGAGGAATCAATACCCGCTCATCCACTCCAACCCCACAACTTCACCATGGTACCACCGTCTCTTCACGCGGTTGGTCATCGATCTGCTTGAGACCCACCCCGCCTCTACGCCCCTGCCTCGCCCTTGGTACTTCTCCGAATGGACCCTATTCGAGGTACAGCCGTAAACCTATGAGCTACAAGGAAGATGGTTTGATCCTTGATGTCATTGAAGCATATTGTTCAGTTACCAAACTCAGAAGCACTGTTAATTCAGGTAGGGTAATTGGATTGTCTGTTATAATTTATGAAAACTCTGCCATCAGCTGTCTCTCTTCAACCTACTGTGAATGGTTAAAAGTAATTTCATTCTTTCAATGTCTACTTCTTAAAAAATAACTTAACCAAAGACATTGAATTTTATATACTGCAGATAGTAAATTGAATTGAAAGCGCAAGATTTCACAGTGGTAGGAATACAATTGTTCTAATGTAAGTAATGTCAGTGAGGATTTTATACAATCCTTGTAGTTCAAACAGTCAATAGGCTTGTTTCATGATTTTTGGTTTACAGTCCACTTGATAGAAATTTCAAATTGAAAAACAGTGCAATTTGTTTCAGCTCTCTAAGTACCGTAGTTTTCCCTTAATTAATGATTAAAAATCAAATTTGGTAGGGCGGTGACGTCACGGACCTATTCCCGCTTCTTGTTCGATTGACCAATAGGAACAATAGAAATAATCAACATTGCCAAATCGTAAAATTTACGAAGCCTATAATTATCAATTTAATTATGGAAGTATATATGAACCCATTAATGTTTCAATAAATGAAAATTTTTCCATATGGAATAAAATGTACACGAAAAATCATGTTTGGAAATTAGTTCTATATCTGAAATCAGTACACAAACTCGGAAGATCACAAGTAGGTATAGGTGAATTCAAAAGAAAACTAAATTTCACAAAATTTTCTGACATTCACAATTACAACACTCGTAACAAGGACACTTTCTTGATACCATCATTCAATTATGAAGTATATCGAGAAGGGACAATATACATGGGAGTCAAAACTCTAATAAATTACCTAATTCGTTCGAAAACATAACTTCAGTTAACAAATTCAAATGTTGAGAAAACTTCTACAGGCTATCTCAATGAATTATCTCAATGAATTTTTTGACGACTATCTTCGATAGATTCTACCATCAAGTAAAGAAATGGAAACAGAAATAGATATTTTTTAGAATATTACTCAGTTCCAATATGATGTTCTTGCAAATGTTCGTATGACCAACAACATTATCAAACTTTTTTCCTGTATGCTCTTCGAGCGAAATTTGTTATTTTCAACTGAATTATGAATATAGTTTCTTGGGAAAACACATTCAAATACGCAACACATTCTGAATTTGTTCATTTACAAGTTCGACCTTGAGCTGTGCTGTACTTGACAGGAAGAAGATAATATACAAAATTACCCAAGCATCTTCATTTATGTTCCGAAAGAGATATATAATGAAACACAGTTCTGCCATCAGTGCCATCTATTGAAGAGAGATGAAGATATACTGAATGTAATGAAACACAGTTCTGCCATCAGTGCCATCTATTGAAGAGAGATGAAGATGTTGGTTATTTTTATACACGGAACCGGTGGAGCTGTAGAGAACTGTAAAAGTATTTTCATCATAGAACCAGATAGAACCATAGACTGACAATGATAGAATCATTCAACATATTAAGACGATAATAGAATATAGAACCATTGTCTTATTATTAATAGTCAGTGAAAAGCATTTGATGCAATACTGAGAGGCATCTATCAGATCTTCGTGGAACATAATGAAAAACGTAGGCGTAAAGTGGCACCACCCCTACCAGAGAACAATGGAATTATATAGTCATCTCATTTTACTTTCATTGATTGACTACTGGTGATTTTGAGTGGACTCACTTGATTTTCAATACACAAAATGTATTGTAAAAATTTAGTTTCAATACATTTCTATCGAAACATTGTTAAATTTGAAAGGTACATTTTTGAAACTGTGTAAAAGTATTTCAAGTTCTTCACAAAAAATCGAGGATGCAATTTGCACTTGAGTTTTCTAAAAATGGTCATTGTCAATTCATTAGAGCATTTGAGCAACACAATTGAAGTTGTTGCAGTTTCATGTATATTTTTTATCACAGAATAATTTCAAATCAGTGTATTTACCCTAGCACACTAATTGTTGTGTTGGTACTGTTGACGGATTTGTATCTTGATATCGCCATTTAGGTATACCTTATTATCTTGATGAAATTACTCTAACCATTCACAAATTCGGTCGCCTGCTAGTTCTAAACTTTACTATGTTTCATTTATGGCGATTGGGGTATGCAGTGGAACTTTTGACTGGTGGTAACGTACAAATGCATGATAAAATAGCACGTTCACATAGATCTAGTTTGGATCTGATCCGTTCTTCATCTACCATAATTACTCAGCCTTTGCAGCCTCATAACTATCGTCCACACGCACAAAGAGCATCCACCTGGTGTTGCGGATCATTTGTAATACGTCAGTTGCGGAAAACCCAACATCTGGAATAGTCATACCACTTTCAGTTGAATGCACTCTGCAATATTTTTTGTGGAGAAAAAGTTTTTGATAAGTAAAGAATCATCAAAACAATGAATATAAATGTTGTATATTTATAATTAATTTGTTTATTTATTTTTTCTAAGAATTAACGTACTCAACATACCTTATGTTTTAAAAACCATTGCAAGATATGAATAAAATATCTATCTATCTTTGAATATATATTTTCATTGCTGCAAGGAATATTTCTGAAATAGTAATGAAAACTTTCGTGGGTTCTTATGTAGATTTTGATTTAACATTTGATGCTTTTTGGTCATTTGTATTTCCGTCGTTAATAACTTTTAGCACAAACATCATTCAAAGACTGTTATTCAATATATTCAATATAATTATATGGGTATATATGTTAGCAATGCAATGTCACAACTTTTATTCTTTATTTAAACTTTTGAGAATGTTGAGATATGTCAACTCTTAATAACGATTGTTTCCGGAAAAATATATTAATCCAATTTGGTGCACCTAATCACTTTTTTCGAAAACGATCACTCCTACCGGAAATCATCTTTCTGAAGAATTCCAAATATCATGAAAAAGATGATTTATGATCCAATGACTTCATATTGCCAACACCTATTCCCATGAAATCAACCATATTATTTGGTATAACCACCCAAGATATTAAGTAATCATTTTCAGTATCTTGGAAGTTTACCACATTTTTGGCATAAAGATGAAGAAGTAGAAAGCCAAAAGTTTTATTTCCCATTCACCCAGACTTTCAAACACCCCATATTTCTGAAACTAAGGAGATTTAACCATTTGTTCATAGGAACTTTTCAAAACAACATCACATGGAATCACTCCTTGAAATTATGGCACTATGTAAGAAGCACTTTTTATAATGGTCCCAGTCACATGATGGGCATCCATTCCTGAAAATAGGAGATATCTTATGGATGTCTAATAGATGTTCTGACTAAACCAATAAGATATATTTGGGGATATACAATAAACAACTTTCAGAGGCATCTTATACCCCATTCCTACAAAGTTATCATACACAATTTTGGATTGGTAAAAGAGAGAGGTTAATTACAGTATCACCATGCGAAATATCCTTGAATAATTTTTTTTCAATGTCAATAAATAACGAAAAAGTGAAAAAAATCAAATTATAATATCTATGAAGTCAGAAACACTGTAAAGATGAACAAAACACACACTATCCACATCATGTTTAATAAAGTATTGAAGTCATGAAAGGACAAAAACAATAATTGACAATAGGAGAGAACATAAATGGCCGGTTGTTTTGGAAGTATTTGGCCAACTCAAATACACTAACTGAATACCATCCTCATCAATCCTTTTCTTGAGAAATGAAATACAATTTAAATGGAAGTATTCAAAATATTCAAATTTTGAAACTTATTCATATTATCTTCAGGTATCTTATGGGATGTCCATGACATTTCTTCCAAAGGATATAAATAAGAAGTTTTTTAAAAATATCTCAAAAATAGAGATATGTGATTATGGTCCGAATCGATTTGAAATTAGTATGTGGATTTTTTTGGGCTCGTAGAGTATAAATGTATTGTCAAAATTAATGAATTCAAGGTGACGGACAAGTTGTGTTATCCGATTCATATTTGGTACAATGGGGTTTTCGTGGTCGCACATTATGAATCTTTAGTTAAAATTAATGAATTCAAGATGGCGGCTTCAAGATGTCTGACGAGTATTGTGATTATGGACCGATTCGATTTAAAATTGGTATTTTGTAGTCTCTAGGCGTGATTTTTTTCTATTGAATTTCGGAAATTCAAGAGGGCGGACTAGTTTTGTGATATCTGGTCGGGCTCTATGGAAGACTGGCTTTAAGGTTCGAAGATAGTTATNAAATACTTCTCAATTCGTTCTTCGGGATATTCTTCAGCTCTTTCCACAATGCTCTTTTAATGTCATCTATGCTTGTGAAACGATGGCCCTTCATAGTCACTCGAAGTCATGTCTGGCAAATATAGATGCTGGAGCCTCAATTGATCTGGGTCAAAATTAAACGAACAAGACATGAAGTATGCATTATCGTTGTGCAAAAGCTAAAATTATTTTTCCACAAATTCGGGCGTTTTTCGGATTGTCGCACGCAAACGACGTTAAACTTGTAGGTATTACTCCTTATTGACCTTTTGACTTTGTGGCAAGATGCACTATGCCATCAAAATAGAAAAACACAGTGAGCGTAACCTTCACGTTGAACACATTTGTCGAGCATTTTTAGGTTCTGGCAAGCCAGAATGCCTCCACTGAGTTGATTGAGCTTAAATTTCGAAGTCATATCTGTAAACCCATGTTTCGTCACCTGTTAGAGCACGTTTCAGTAATTGTGCATCTTCATTAACTAACATTTTTATCATACTTCAAGGGCATATATACCAACATAATGAAATAAATTGACAACCTGACTCTCCAAACCCGTAAAATTTAAAAATTTCCCGTTATTTTCTGAATATACCTCGTATATCTGAGAGACGATATTTAGATTCCCTTCAATACATCCAAAGCATTGTTAGAATAACAGATCGGGTAACTATCTGATTTGTTCCTTGAAGGAACTTGTTGATTAAATGACATTTAAAGTTTATCTTCCGAGTTTGCAATGTTAGGGTTGTACT